CTGTTTGGACTGTTAGAGTGTTTTTCATTTTTTAAATACTGTTATTTATACACCAGCTGTTACAGGACACACATCCTCCAAATGGTTACAGCTTTGTCCCATCATTTTCCAGAAGTGTTATTGCAAATTTAAGACAGGCCTTACACTCTACAATCACAATTACTGTCCTTTAGGCAATGAAAGTTCAATGTGTTTCAGGTTGTATTGTAACTTCCTGGATAAGTCATAGATGGCTTCATGGAGTCATTTTGGTAAACCAACCACTCCTGGTATTATTTGGTGAAATATGAGTCACAGTGTGCTTCTCCTGTCTCCCACATTCTTATAAATGGCTTTGTTACCCATGATCACTTGGATCAGAGATTTTTTAAGATTAGGGTATAATCTGCTTTCAAAAGTTCTACTTAAGGGATTTCTGAATGCAAGAGGTCTACCAATGATCGGGCCTGGATATGGCTCCTTTACAAAACACATGGTTGATTACAGTTAATGGATGAAAGAACTGAGAGGAAAATAACTTTCAATATAAGACCAAGTTAGTTTTAGTTTTTCCACTACAGAAAACAGCTTTTATTTTTTATTTTTGTGGTGTTTGTAAAATCTACAATGTGTTTCAATTGATCTTAATCAAAGTTTAAGAAAAATTTAGCAAGGGTACTTTTCCACAGAGCTCTACGTGACGATAGAGTCTGATGAGGTCACTGTTGGGAAACGTTTGACTCATCAACCCACCATGTAGTAACCAGGAAGCAGCTTCTGCAGAAACTCTGCCTCCTTGTGCTGCACCGTCTTGATAATGAACTCGTCGTCGCTGGTGAGGTAGAACCAAGAACTGCTGGCTCCAGGGTTGGAGAGCTCGATCAGCGGCTCCTTACAGATAGAATACTGCAACAGAGTGATGCAACAGTCTGACCAAGACGGCATTTCACAACCAATTGACAGGAAACCTGCATCGCATACTACAGAGGTTAAAACTTTCTCTGAGTCTCACCAGGTAGTCGTCTGGCTTGATCCCAAAGAGCTCCCTGAAGTAGCGAAAAGCCAGCGGGGCGTATGTTTTCAGACGGAAATCAGGGTAGTGATGCGCTGGAGTCAAGTTGCTACCTTCACTGGAAATGAGAATAGAAAACCAAAAACTTAACGCCTGCTGAGTGAGTTCAGTGTAGCTGTGACAGAGTAAAAATTAAGGATTGCTAAAGACTTTTCAATGGCATCATATGTCTGACCAACAATGACTGATTGTTTTCATAAAATGAAGCCAACATTGTGAAAAGCTTTGTTACATGTCCTGTATTAAAAAAAATATTTTTGGATTTCAGTTTAGACAACATTTTTAGAAATATACCATCACAACAGCACCAAGCAGGGAACGATTTTCGACCCTGGCATTTTTCCATCTACACCGGCCCACTTATAGACTTCCCAATTTGAACCAAAGTCTATTGATTTCTTAGACCATAAATCTAAAGAAAATTTTTTTTTATCCATAGACGGCCATCCTAAATATCCTGTTGTCGCAAAATTTTTATCTTTCTTCTAGGGATGCACGATATTGGGATTTTGGCCGATATCCGATATGCCGATATTTTAAAACTCATGTAGCCGATAACCGATATCGATACC